GTCATAAGGTACCACTACCTCTGTTCAAAGCACAACATTCATATCTGCAGTGGAATATCTGAAGTATTTTCACTGACCCTAATTTGTTTTAGCTTTCCTTTTATGTTAGGAAATGTCAAGGTAATGAAATTGCTCAGAGTTCCCAGTCAATAAAGCTTCTAAAGTCTTTGTCTGCTTTAGTATAATTGCCCTGTACTTCTGCTTTAGCCAGCTGTAGCTATTTTCTACATTGGTTCACTTTCCAGTTTAATTCTGAGATTCACCTGGATTCATCTGAACTTCATTATTATTTTTAAATCAGTCTCTCTCTCATCTCTTTTCAAACCTGGCACAGTGCCTTGAATCAACTTACTGCTCAGAGAAAACATTTCAAGCACAGGATAAGCTGCTAAATGAAGAGCTTTGAGACTTCCAGCAGCCTGAAAATAATTTAACTTGGCCAGATCCAAACCAACCTGTTAGGGAAAAGTCTAGCTATGGTCCTTCTCTAAAGGAATAGAGTTCACTGCATCTCAGCCCTGATTTGAGGCCATTAATCATGGACTCACCAGATCACAGCCATGCCCTATTTTGCAAAAGCCATTTCTTTATCTTTTTACTTCTGTCTCTATTAGGCAGATGAATGCAGATTTTAGCTGTTACTGTTGCATTTCTTAAGATACAGTCTCTCCCTAGTAGTTTATAGTGACAAGAAACACTGCCAAACTTCATGCCCATTCCACTCAGGATCCTTTTCAAGGCCCAGGATTCATCATCAAGATCAAAGATTCCATATATTGCTGAATTATAAATCCCAACACCACCAGCCACATGACCAATAATGGAATATGCTGGAGAATTCATTTAATTCTTGGCTGTGTGTGTATTAAACCAACTTTTGAAAGAAAATTGTATGTGTTACTGTGTAAATTTTTAACATATATTACCTTCAGTACTGAAAAATTTATTTAATCCCTTATCATGGACTGTGTGCTACTTTAAATACATATTCAGAAAGCAGACGTTGTAATAGCACACACAGCATACTACAATACAAAATTTTTATTTACCCTTATGGGTATTCTTAGAAGGGGTGTAATAGAGTAATGTTTGCACACACTCACATGGAGGGTGGTGGGTTGGCTTCTCTGGCTCCTTCAAATGGGGTTTAAAAGCCCCTCTCCCACAATACCCCTGGTGCAACCTCTCAGAATCTTTGAAGGAGTTCTTTCTAGTTGCTGCTAATTTTGTTTTTATTCAGGGACCAATTTCCTCCTACTCTGGAGGAAGAAAGTGGAAGCTTCTTTTTTTCCTAATGGAATGCTTGGTAAGTTAAATTCCCCACTAGAATGAGATGAGGAATTTCAGAAGAAGTTACAAGTTGTTTATTATGTATTTTAAGATTAAGGAGCTAACTGAGATTATAGAGAATGGGAAAAAGAAAACAGGAAAATACCATGAGTCCTGTAGACAGTTATCTTCCAGGCAGACAGACAGACATATGGACATACATATAAAACAGACAGAATGAAACACGACTAAAGATACAATGAAACACGACTAAAGATACAAAGAAACACACAGTTCAGAACAATCAATATCAATTAAATTCATCAATATAAATTAACCCCAAATATCTTATAACTCCACATTTCCTAGTTGACTAATTCATTTTCATTTTCCAATCCTTCTCCAGATTGGGGTGTATTTCTTACCTGGCAGAAACCAGATTGGGGTGAAGTCTTCCTGGGATGGAACACAAAACAACAAAGACAGACTGGAGTTGGCTTCCTCTAATTTTAAAAGTCCACTTGAAAGAGAGACACTTCTGATGGGCTGCTTAGAGTTTTGAGTTCCAGGACATTGCTGGACTCTGCCCATTACGTAGATTGATTGATTCACTCTTATTCTGAACCACTGAGAATGTTTTTCCCCTTTCAACATGGTGAGAAAGGGACTACCATCTAACACTGTATAATATTGCTAAGGTGATATACAAAGATTCAGATTTTTCATGCAATTTTGAAGAAATAATTGGTACTTAATAATCCTCTCAGTAGTATAGTATTAGAATTATCTAGAACCAGGACTTCACTTAAGTCCTATGTTGCACCTGGTTGCACCTGGTCACTTTAATAATTTTTCCTCAATGCAGAGAGAGAGAGAAAGAGAGAGACTAGTTCTGTGATCACTTATCACATCTCTCTCTCTGCATTGAGGAAAAAATATTTTGCATAGTATATCAGTTCTAGCTCATTAAAGTGACCAGGTGCAACACAGTGCTCCCTTTTCTCAAATTATTTTATTTTGCTAAAATGAGATTTAGTTCAGGAATTCATGTCGATGGATGAGAGAGGAGAGTCAATGAATTTAAAACTCATTTGCAGACAATATTTCTCTGTTGCAAAAACATAATGAAATGATGAGAAACGTTTCATGCATTTCCAGGTTAGTTGGATTATTTGACAACTTTGCCTGTCTCTACCTGTTATGGGGAAGGACAAAGCAAGCTGTACAAGATAGGATAAAACAAAACTTCTGAGTTGTGAACGCGTTGCTATTAATGTCACAGTGGTAAGCATACTGTAAAAGCCGTACGGTCCCACAGAGAACATGACAGAAGTGATAGTTCATCATAAAAAAATATATGTACTTTATAAAAATAATTTAATTTTAGAGAGATTCAATAAAATCGTTAAATTCTGATTTTAAAAACAAACAGCTTTACGATGGGCAAGCAGAAACCCCTTGACCATCAACAATTTACAGCTTGACAACACATTGACAACAGGCAGACACATGGGTTATGTGGTTAGTCTTAATGAAGTATATATTTCTACTTAAATTGCCCTCACTATTTTAAAGATTGCATGTATACACATAAATTAACATATGCAAATTTCATGTAAATTTGTATAATATGCTGCCCTCTTTTTGAGATAATGCATTCCTGGACAGCCTTAAATAAGATGGTTGGATTTAAAGTTTGAATTATTTTTCCAAATGAATAAAGGTGATGGACTTGTTTGGTCACTTCTTTGTTTTTTACATATAAAATATGCCTAGAAAGTATTTTCAATTTTATTCAGGCTTCATTTTTTAAAATAACCACTTAGTATCATGAATACCAAATATTTTCATCCATAAGAGAATGAAAGGTATTTTGTCCAGTGTTACCAAATATATAAAAGTGGAACCAAATCTCCCCAAAAATATGAGCTTGCTGGTGAAAATTATGATCCTGCTTTCCCTGACTCTACTTCATATGTAGTAATGAAAATGTGGCATGATATTATATATTTTTAACCTCATAGGATAGTGAATATTATGGATTTGGGGAATAAGGGAATTGTATAATGTAATAACATACGTTTTATTATTCCAGGGAGACATACTGCATAGCTTTATGATTTATTATTTAAAGCATTGTACATACATTATGTAAGCCTACAAAGATTCAATGTGAGCTACTAAAACTATAGAACAAAATAATCTCAGTGCTCTAGGTAACTTTTTTGAATGACATTACTTCTCATAGTGACATTACCATGTTTTATCCATTTACTAGCAATTAAGACTTTTGTTTGCCTGAATAGCATATTTTATAAATACTGTACTTATATAATGATATAGTGGTTAAGTTATTAGAGTAGTAGAGGGGAGATCCAAATTCTAGTCCTCACTTAGGCATGGAAACTGACTACATGACTTTGGGCCAGTCACCCTAGACTGGGAAGTTGAAAAACATCTATCTACCAACCTGCAGTGGACTAACATGGTAGATTATAATCCATAACCATCAGTGAAGAGCCCTTCAACCTGCAGTAGTTTTGTTCTATTAGGAATTAAGCCACAACATGCATAAGAAATAATTCTGTCATATAGTAAATTAGAACTTTAGCTAGAAATGACCTGAACATTAAGGGGTTTTGTATGTTTCTTTATCCATCCCCAAGATATCCTGTTCTCTTGATTTATTACATTTTTATTTTTACTATACTACCGATACCTCCAATAATTCTGACCTGTTGGATGCAGGGAAGAAATAGTGATAAAAATGCATTAAAACTATTTCCAGTCAACATTAATGAACCTTTGCAATATTCTCCTGTGGTCAGTAAAAACGAATTGCCTCCTTACTGAGGCAGGAAAAATGTTCTAATATAACTAAAACAATGTAACACCAAAATCCAGAACAAGGAGGAAACGTTTTCCTCCAAAAGAGCCAGTTTGGTCAAGTGGTTAAGGCACCAGGCTAGAAAGCGGGAGACTGAGTTCTAGTCCCGCCTTAGGCATGAAAGCCGGTTGGGTGACTTTGGGCCAGTCATTCTCTCAGCCCAACTCACCTCACAGGGTTGTTGCTGTGGGGAAAATAGGAGGAGGAAGGTGTATCAAGGTATGTTTGCTGCCTTGAGTTATTTATAAAAATAATAAAGGCAGGATAAAAAAAATCTTTAAAAAATCTTGATGAGTACAAGAGCCCTCTCTGAAATATCTTGCTGCTTGCCACTGACCCTACCCTTGACAATCATGAGCGCTGCTAGAGGAGTTCTCTTCTGGTGACCGAACAAAGCCTTAGAAACCAGGGGTATCCTTACCAATATGGGAAAAATTGGTGCGTGAAACAAAGCTTCAGAACCCAGGAGTAAAGGTCACATAAAAGGGCTGGCAGGCATAAGAATATTCACTTGTGGAAAAATACTACTGGGTTTATTAATGAGTAAATTCTTATTCTCAAGTTTACCTTTTTGCCAGTTAGAATCTTAGGATTAGCAGGTCAGCTTGGGCATGGTTCTGAAGGCAGGAATGTAAAAGCCTTCAGTATTCAGCAGACTGAAAAGCTGAATACTATGCTTTGCTCTGCCATACAACAGGAAGGAGGAGTTGTTGTTATTGACAACAACAAAAATTAGCACTGAATTTTTGCTGCCAGACTTTTTTGGCCCTTTTGATCATGGTTTGTTTGCCTCATTTCTAGAATTAAAACTGATGGAATTAAAATAGTAGCCTTAGATACCTACCTGGCCGATGTGCCTTTGGAACAGCCATGTTTGTCACGCGTCCTCCGTCCTGAGGTTTGGGAGGGGATGCAGTAAATCTGCAAATCCCTGATTCGGATGGGGTGCTTGAGGTCAGGCTGTCTGTATATTCATTAGTCCCTGCCGTAAGCTGCTCTGATGAGGTGTCTGATATGAAGCATTCTGTGATGGTAAACTTTGCATGTCGCAGCTGCTCTTCCATCTTGGCATGTTCATATGCTCTTGCTAGCTCTTCGTATGTGGAGGAGGCACTTTCTGTGGAGACCATGCTGCTTCTTGCTCGATCTAAACCATAAAGAAAAGGCAATCACTTCAGAAGGGATCAACCAGCAAAAGCATGACTTTCTACTATATACTGAACACCCTTCAAGTAGCACGCTCACACAATATGGCATGCTGTGCTATCAAGTTTTGATGATAGCGTTCTTCATTTGTATCATGTAAAATTAGTATTATAAGTTGAGAAGAAAGAAGTTTATTTCAGAATGAAATTATTGCTATTAATTCCATTTTTTTTCTTAAACTTTTTCTAAATGGTTTCTCTTTTAAGTCAAATTTAGTATCTTCAAATGTATTGGACAGAAGGGGTAAACATAACTCTCAGAAAACAGCCTGAAAATAATACTTGTATATATCTACTCCTTTTTGTTTCCACATAATTTCATTTAAAGAAATGATTTTAGGTAATTAATATTTAATATTGAAGAACTAAAAATGACATGCAAGGTTACATCCTGATTTTATTTTAGAACCTCTTTGTTATTTATTGAAAGCTATGAATTCATTTCATACAACTGTTTTTTAATTGATATTTTGGTCACTCTCAAACAGTTTTTTTGCCAGTTATGCATCTGAACTGATTAAACTTTGGATTCAGCCAAGTTCCAAACAAAATCAGACTGATTTGAACTGAGTAGGTAGATGTTGAAATGGTATAATGAAATCTTGTGCAACGGATTAAATCTGATCCCTTTCAAGGCTTTAATCCAGCAAAAGAGATCAAAATTGCTTGAAATATTTTATTCAAAACCAAGTAGCAAAAATCATCAGCAGTTCTCAAAGAATCTCCAAAACAAACAGACAAAACATTGAAGCCTAGAACATAATCTCCTGTACCTATATGTCTGGCTTTATGCCATTGTAAGGTAGTAGCTACGAACGTCCTGCAAAATTTATCCATACTCTTATCTAATTAGGTTAATTATTAAAATAAAGTATTGTAACTATTTGATTTAACTCATTTGATTTTCCATGATAATTAAGGGGACATTCAGTTTTATGAACTGCTATTTGGGACATGTCCTGAGTCAATCTGGGGAGGGGGGCTTTGAATAAGTCAAACAAAGAGCCTTCAGGAATGGGCAACATGCAAATAACATCAGTATGTGAATTCTCTCCAGGTTAGTGAATCAGCTCCTAAACTGAATTTTATACAATAGTAAAGGCATACTCTTAGGGTCAAGTACACCAATGAGCCACATCCAGTTCAGCAAGCCCTTTAGTAAACTAATACTATACTTCTTAGACTAGCTGCCAAGTAAAGTCACCAAGGAAAGTGCTGGCAATGCAGATGCCCACTTGGGAAGAAAAAGTCTTGTTGGGTCATACATTATCCTCTCCATGGTATGTGAGGGAAATATTGAACATGATGATAAGCTAACTTGAATAACATAGACTGCAATCCTAAATACTTGGAAACAGCTGCTTTTGGCCTTCATGAGACATACTTCTGAATGAACTCAATACTCATAGTATCTTTGAATTTCAAAAGATGGGGATAAATATCTCATCTGCATCTGCTGCATTCCCAAAATTATCACTCCCTTCCCCAACAGCATCTTCTATTTGCATTTTTAAAAACCTGATGATTAAAGACAGTTACAGTACACTAAACATCATACTTTGGCCTAGAAGATGATTATAACATGCCTTCCTTTAAGAAAAGACAAGATATGCTAAATATGCTAAATGAAAACAAGTATATAATCAGCTATACTAAAGATATTCTTGGCCTGAAGATGAAATCTGAACTAAAGATGGTACCTGTATCTTGTGATGGACTAACACTGTAGCTATCGCTTTCTTTATCAACAGACCCTGTGGCCCTGGGAGTTGGCAGCCTCCAGTCTGTTGTTAAAGTGTGGGCTGATATTGTAGGATGGGGTCTGTTGAGAGTCCATTGGCTAGCGTATCTGTTCCGGGCTGTAGGCCCAGTTTTTGCATTCCTTCTTGTTGTAGGATCTGTAATTAAAACCAAGGTAATTGAATATTTGATTGATTAATTAATTAAAGGAGCATAAGAAGGAAAGAAAAAAAATCATCAAACATTATTGAGTGACTAAGTCTTAAAATAAAAATGAGTTACAGAGAAGCTCATCTATCACTGAATCAGCTAATGTCAACCACTGGCAACAATATATATATATGTTCAACCAATGTGTGCATCTTTATCCAGTTTCCTTTTAACTACCTTAGCTACAAAGCTAGTAACGAAAGTCATATAAATAAAGTAATTGTTGGGCATTTAGTTTTTTTAAAGCAAGTTAGAAAAAAATAGATCTTGCTGTTATCTCAGTAGCTTGTTTGAAGAATGGTATTTTGAAACCCTCCCCCTCCTCCCCAATAAACAATCTAGAATCAGTCCTACATTTCCCATTTACACACTTTTAAAAAAAATAATATAAGGGTATAGATTTGGTGAAAATGGAATATTAAGGGAGCAAGGAAATATTTTATTCTAAATTCTCTAAGAAAGCACTGCAAACTATAGGATATAAGAATTATTCATGATTCATCCATTCATATCAAAGATTGACAGCTTTTTATTTGCAAGCAATTTTAAAAAATGTAAACTGTCCATATGTTGCTTGCTTCTTGAAACTATGATGACAACTTAAAAATAAAGATATTCAGCAATAAATGTAGTGTCCCTTTTTTGATTGAATATAATACTTAGATGAATAGCTGAGCAAAACAAAACAGTCTCCTATTTCATGGTATGCTGCAGATTTTCCATACTGAAAGTATGCTGTGTTTTGTAAACCTCACAGAATCATTGCCAAAACGTTGGGAAATGCTCCAGTGATTAACAACTGTATTAGATTTTTATCAAATTGAAAAATCTTAGAATGGTAAATCTGCTTACTGAATATTTCGCTTGTATAAAGGGTTTTGTAGTTGGAAGATATCCCAACCATTATAAAATGTATTAGATGTTGTCAGAATTTAACACCTTTTTCTCCAGAACGATATTAAAGCTGGTATAAGAGTTGGTACATTAACTTGTGTTGGCAGAGAAAGAAATAAGCAAGACCACAAATTCCAGCTATTAGAGAGGTTTTGCTTCTAGAACATTAATGACAACTCGGACAACTAGTTCATAACATTCATTAATATAAAAACACAATGAAGTGCTTGCATAGGTATCGGGGGAAGGGGTGG